TGGAGATATTCGCTTCATATGTAGATATTATATGCTAAAATAACAATGAACTAGGCTTAAGGCCTGAATGTATATGACTGTATAGGGTCTCATTCCTCGCTTTCATTAACTAATACACCTGTGTTCTCATAAACTTTCTTTACAAAATTGTGTAACAAGGAGGATTCAGCTACAGGCTGTGGCATGCTGACTGCGTTAGAACACAGGAATCCTGGGTAACTGTTGGGTCCTTGAGGAACATGACCAGATCAATGTTGAGAAGGGGCTATGGTGACAGGTGAACAATGGATTCAGAATGTTTCAGAAGCTGTGTGAAATAAATGCTGGTATCACCACATTTTCTCAGTTATTGTATTTGTTATAAACAAATGAGAGTGACTACATTCCAATAAAACTTTATTTAGACAAACAAGCAGTAGCCTGTCTGAATTTGGCCCATAGACCAAGCAATACTGTTCTGTGATCTGAAAGCAGAGACTCCAATAAACAGTAATCATCTAAAATCAGTGATTATAATTCAAAAATCGAAGATCTATTTATAGCATACCAAGATCTTCTGATTATACCAATATGGGAATGGGAGTAGACAATCTTCCGTTTTTTGTTTTTTTTTTAATTCTCTGACACTTTCACCCATGTATATAATGTATTTTGGTCATTTTCATCCCTCAGTACCCTTTCTCAGCCCCTTCCCACTCTTGCTGAACCTTTTCCTAAAAGAAAGGTTCATTTCAGTTACTAATGGATTAATTTAAGCCAGACACAGATCCCAGCCATACAGGATCGATTTTTCATTCTTTCAGGGCAGACATCCAGAGGGTACATTGGACATGGGCTGTGTCTGCAGCAGATGAAGATACTGCAAGCAGATGGACCACACAGCCCAGCTAAACCACAGAGCATCCTATAGTCTCAGTATCTTACCAAAAGCAGGGTCTTAGGTAGCTCAGGCTGGTCTCACACTGCCTATATAGCCAAGGATGACCTTCAGCTCCAATCCTCCTGTCTCTACCTGCCAAGAGCTGCCTCGGTGTCAATGGCACCAACACTGGCAGATTCCAGGGAAACATGGATCATTAGACTGTCTCTCCAGCTTCTCAGGCCTAGCACACATGAGTCAAGTTGCTGGTGCACAGAATCCCAAGTCAGGGAGAAGGTGAGCTTGTCAAATTTGAGCTATAAAAACTAGGCATCTACTTTTGAATACCTCTAAAAAGATGGTATTAAGACAGTGTTTCTTGTTCCTTTTTTTACTGCAGATGTTTGCCAAGGTACATTGGAGGGGGGACCCATATACCAGGAGGCATTTCTGATTGTCACAACTAGGGAAAGTTTACTTATATCTTCTACTAAAATCTTATTTACCATGTGTCCTAGTTAGCTTTAAATGTCAACTTGACACAGCCTGTAATCACTTGAAAAGAGTCGCAATTAAGTGATTGTCTATCAGGTGATATGTCTATAGAGGACTGTTAATTGATGTAGGAGAGCCCAGGCCACTATGGGTAGGGCACCATTCCCTGGCCAGGTGGTCCTGGGCTATATAAAAAAGATAGGGTAAGTATGAGTCTGTGTGTGGGCCAGACAGTGAGCCAGCAAGCAATGTTCCTCCATGGCTCCTGCCTCCATGTTCCTGCTTGAGTTCCTGCCCTGACTTCCCTCAATGATGAATTATAACCAAATAAACTCTTTCCTCCTCTAAGCTGTTTTAAGTTAGAGGGTTTTATCACAGAGACAGAAAGAAACTAGAAAACCATGTAAGTAATCTTAAAACAATCTTATATAGCCCAAATCATCAATAGTACCAGGAAACCCTGTCTCAGTGGATCTTACCACAACACACAATGGTCCCAAATACTTAAGAAGCACATACACTCTAAGATCCAAAAACTCAGCCCCAAAGACCACTTTGATATGTCAAGTTGGTAGGATGACAAACATGAGAAGAGAGTTAGACTTGCTGAGGAAGCCTGTTTCACTGTTGTTTTCTTGGGGAAAGATGAATGATTTCTTCACTAAGTTGAGATTCATTGATAAAAGGAGATTAGAATAAATAATCCCTATATGTTCTTTGATACGATGTCCTGTGACTTATCAGGCATAGGATTGTTTGTGTGTGAGTGTGTGTGTGTGTGTGTGTGTGTAGACATTCCTATTCCTATGGGGACGGTGTATACGTATGCGCATGTAGAGGCCAGAGGACAACCTCGACTGTCCTTCCTAAAATGCCATCCATCTTGGACTTTTTGGAGATCCAATCACCTACTGGCCTGTAGCTTACCAAGTAGGATAGACTGACTGGCAGTGGGCCTCAGGGATCCATTTGTCTCTGCTTCTCCAGCACTGGAATTACAAGCACACTGACCAAGCCTGGCTTTTTTAATGTAGGTTCTGGAGAGAGAACCCAGGACCTTAGGTCCTCTTGCAAGCACTTTACTGGCTGTATTATCCCCCCAGTCCTGGGCTACTTGGCTGAAAAGCTAAGACCAGATGTATGTTCTTTAAAATGTGGAAGAAAGCTGTACTATTACCTGTTTAAGAGAACATAATAAAAATAACTTGTGATATCTCAAGTGTATGATAAATATATTATTCATGGGATTGGTCTTAGCCGTGGAAAAAATTTAATAGATTGTGATAAAGAGGAAATTACTGCTAAGCTCTTCTTTCCCAAATGGGTATCACAAGGAATACACAGAACCCAAAAGTAGTGTCTATCACGGGTCACATCACACTTATGCAATTCCTACATGCTGAGTGGTTCTTTTCTCACTGGTGATAGCTTATCTCTGAAACTGTGACAGAAGTGATAGAAGGCACGAATCAAGTCAATGAGTAAATTTAAAATGCACCTAGCATTCTTATGTGTAAGCTTTCAAAATGAAGCTTTGTGGTTTTAAATCCATTACATAAAAATGTAGCATTTTAGGCATATGAAAAGCCAGTGCCTACTGATACTAACAGACCTCTCTCTCTCTCTCTCTCTCTGAGTATATGTGTACATATATGGAGGTGCATTCACATGGAGGCCAGAGGTCAGTGTTGGGTGTTTTTTTCTTTCAATCTCTCCATTATTTTTGAGACAGGGTCTGTCACTGAACCTGGAACTTTCAGGTTCTGCTAGGCTACCTGGTCAATGTGTCCCAGGGCACATCTACCTGCCTCTCCAGTGCTGGAATCATTGATGCTACCATGCCTGGCTTTTTTACATGGGAGATGGGGGTTAAACTTAGGTCCTCAAAGTTGCATGGCAAACACTTTATTAACTGAGTCATCCTCCCAGCCCCATTACTGACAAATCTTGAAAGAATATATTAAAAGTAGATAGCATAATTATTCTGATAGCAAGCATTGAAAAAGAATGTCTGCACTGTTCCTAAGAAGTAACCACCTTGTCCTTACAGATATGTATGCCATGGAACCAAGTTTCCAGGATCTATCCAAAGAAAAAGGATGTATGTATAATTGAGTATGAGTTCCTGTGTCATACTCAAACTGGCCCCAACTGAACCTACAGCCGTATGTGCCCAGTTTTGTCATCTGAACTCTACATCCTTTAGGGTCTGTTCCTTGATTGGATCACAAAACAGATCATCAACCCTGCTCTGTCTTTCCACCTGAGTGGCATGTCATCTAGAACATAATTCTCAAATGTTGAGCCCCCCGAAGCCTGGGTTCAATGGCTTGACTTCACATTGAATATTGATAACAGATCACCCTCTACACAGCCAGGTTACTTAGTGACCACAGGAAACCTGGGAGGTGAAATCTCCAAAACACAGTATGACCCACATTTTACCTTCAATTTTTGTTGTGTAAGGATTTGTATATCTATATTTTGCATATCAGGGATGGGTGAGATGGCCCAAGCTGGCCTCAAACTTGCTATGTAGCTGAGGATGATCTTGAATTTCTGATCTTTCAGTTACCACCTCCTCAGTGCTGGAGTTACAAATGCGGACCACCATGCTGGAATTCAACCCAGGGGCTTGTGCATGCTAGGCAAGCACTCTCCCAACTGACCTCCATCTCCAGCCCTGTATGCCATTTTAAAATGGATTTAAGTCACTGAAAAACGAGCAGTAAGTACAAAAAGATTTCTTTCAGGGTGAGCACAATTAAAGAGCAAGAGACAAGAGCAATAACAATCTAGAAAGGCAAACTTGAAAGCTTTAAGGCAGTTCATCAGCTCAAGGTCCTGCACAGCAGCCAGAGGGAGGCAAACATTCCACATTAACCTTTACGGTATTCAAAATAACATCTCCCCTCACCTCGCTCCTGCTGTCTCTAATTGCATTGTGTTTAAGGACAGATAATGAGAATGTTTGTTTGCATTCCCTGAACACACTCATGTAACAGAGCACAGAGTCTAGGGAGAATGAGTAACTGGCTGCAAACAGAACCTCGAATACTTAAGTGTTCTGAGTGGTATGCTTGGGGCAGGGGGAGTCTCTCTGTGTGCAAGAGCTCAGAGTCCCACAAAGAGTATTACTTTGTCATTCTAAAACTGCAACTGCAGTCTGGGGAGCTAGCTCAGTGGGTAAAAGCTTTTGCTCCATAAGTGTGAGGACCTGTTTGGATCCCCTGGACCCACATAAAGCCAGATGCGGGTAGCATGCCTTCATAATCCCAGCATTCCTATGGGGAGATGGGACGTACAGACAGGAGAATCCCTGAAAGCTCATGGGACAGCAAGCCTGCTGTACACAGCTGACAAGAGACCCTGTCCCAAACAAGGTGGAAGGTGAGCACCAGCATCAGAAGTTGTCTGGTGACCTCACACACATGAATACACACACACACACACACACACACACACACACACACACACACATATGCACACACCCATACATACAAAAAAATAAAAGTGCAACTGCTGTGCATGAAGGCAGTGGTAAAGAATACTCAATCCATAACAAACCCACATGTGGGAACTTCTGGGGTTCCTTTAAAGCCCAGGCATGCTAGATGGAGCACCCACCCCATGCCTTAGCACTTACCATAAGCCGTCATGACACCAGCATATGGTCCATCCACCACGTTCCTGTTTTCTTCTGCCAGTGCCTTGATGTACCTTTTGCTGAGGTCCAAGATCTGCTCCCGCAGCATGGAGCTGCTTTCGGGCTGAGTCCGCTGCTGGATGGTGAAGTGTAGAAGCATCATCCCCCAAATGAAGCCAAAAGTAACGAGAAAAAAGCCCAGCTTCTGAGAGGACAACTTCCAAGGAGTAAAGAAAGCCATCGCTCTCCAGCAACGCCACCCTGCCCTTGGCTCCTAACGTGCAGAAGGTGGACTCAAGTTCATGGTACAGGCTGGGGCGGTGAGTGTGTTGGTTCCCAGTCTGGCTCCTGAGTCAGCTGATTTCCTTGTCTGGCTTCCATTCTGCTGAGAAGGAGGAGGACAGTTAGCAACTTGGTCAAGATGAAACAAAGCAGAATTAACCAGGAGCTATAACTGCATTGAGGCAGCTGTGCATCAAATACCCACTTCCTTCTTTGTGTAATGTGCTGATTCGGTATAGGTTATGATCTGGGATCTGAGAGCACAGAGGGGAAATCTGGCAAGGAGACAAGAAGTTGTACAAATACACGGGGGTTGGGGGAGTGTGCGTCTGAATGTGTGCAGGTGTAGTAGAGTTGTTCCCCATCTAGAGAGTTCAAAACAGGAAGCCTGTTTTGCAAAGTACAGAGAAGATGGAAGGATATGTCATTGCATATCAACAAAAACCCATGGGAAGGGCAGAATCCTGTCACCACTGGGCACTTTATGCATCTATAACTTGAACTTAGAAAGTCATTATTATGTGCTTGGGGCAAGGATTTAAGCATGCAGCTGGAGAGGTTCCCAAGAAATACAAGCAGGAGTTGAGAAAGGAGGAGAGGGCCCCGTGTTATTCAAGCATAGCTGGCTTTCATTGTCTGTGTTTGAGACTAAATGACGGTGCCAGGTACCACTCCCATGCACCAGGAGAGAGAGATGCCAGAGGCATGGGCAGTATCCTGATATCACTCTGTTCCAGCTTTATTTTGGAGGTGGTGGCAATCAAACCCAGAGTGCATGCTGAGCAGGCATTCTATCACTGAGCCTCACTCCCAGCCCATAGCTATCTGGGGCAAAAGCTGCACCTTGCAGCTGGCATGCCGCCTACACAGGAAGCCCAGGGCACCCAGTTGTCTGCTTCTCTGTGGTTCTCACTTTCACTCTTGTCATGGGGCAAAATGAAAAGTACAAGGGCACAGTTTCAATGAGAAGGTGTTCAGGTCCTACCTGATGACAGCACCGATGGGGCCAATGCTCTGGACTGGGGCTTCGAAGCAAGGAGGGGCCCAGAAAGAGGGTAATGGGTTGATGGGGATGCCCAGGTATATGCTCTTCAAACAGTGTCCTGGGCCCAAGCACCAGTCAGTGGACAAGAGTGCCACTTGATGGAGAGGCTGAATAACCATGCTCTAACAAGGGACTGACCCAGGATGTATCTCAGAGTGGACATGTTTCAATTCAAAAGGAAAAGAAAAGGCAGGAGGATCTTGGAACAACAAGCTTTCAGTCTGTAACATAGCAGGGTGTGGCTGGCTTTCTAGGCACATGTACCAGCACATATCACATACACACAAACACACATAACAAAGATTTTTTTTTTGAAGAATATGTAACAGAGACCCTATGTAGCTCACAAAGCCTAAACTGACCACCTGGTCCTTAACAGAAAAGACTGTCCAGTGTCTGAATTCTCACCCAGTGATCCTCAAAAGTGGTCCTTAGCAACAGCGGAGTTACTTGTGGGAAAAAAAAGCAGATTCTCATGTCTCATCCCAGACTATAGAATCAGCAACTCTAGAGCTGGGTTGGGTGGTTGTGTGCTGTCCAAGTGAGTGTGATGCAGGCTCAACTTCAGAGCCCCTGGTCTAGGCAGCAGGATACTGGGTGTGTAGACCCATGACTGTGCCATCTACCACAAAGCAAATGTGATTTGTCTTAAGCCATCTTGAACTACATTTATTACTTGTATGTGGAAGAGCGGGAAGGATGGTACATATACCCATATGTATGTGTGCACATCCAGGCTCGTGTATGTGGAAGCCAGAGCAGGATGTCAAGTATGTTTCTCTCTCACTCTGTACCTTACATAGCTCTCATAAACCATAAGTTCACTGATTCTGCTGATTCAGCTAGCCTGTCTGCACCATCAGGGTTGGGGTTATAGGTATATATAGCTATGCCCAGCTTTTTGTGTGGGTACAGATCCTCATGTTTGCAGAGCCAGTGCTCGTAGCCACTGAGACACCAAATCCAGTAGCTCCATGTCAAACTTCTGGGACTTTACTTCCAAAGGGCTTAGATGGCTCAGCCTCTCTAGCTTTGCTGTGTGCAACACACATCTCTCTCCTGTGCTGGTACCACTCCCTGTGTGCAGGTCTTCTTGGCAGATGCCTCACAGCTCTGGCATCACGGACTTCTTGGGGTCTCCATCGCCAACCAGGCTTCACCTTCACAGCTTCACACAGTGGCCTATCAGGGCCTTCTCTAGGCAGGGGCACCCGTGCTCCATGCTGCCTGGCCTCAGCAGCTCTCTGAAACCTTGGAGGAAGAACTGACGACACCTCTACTCTTGCATCTTTCATGCCTCTAAAGCCAGCACCAGGTGAACGACACTGCCAAGTTTGACTGCAAGTTTGGGATGGACCCCAGCCTGCTTTATCCATTTTAGAAGCTTTACTCTTCAGTGGTCCCCACAGCATTTTCCTTTCACACGCTGGAGGCTTAACTGGGTGTGGTCTTGCCCTGGAGGCACTCTCTCCATTGTTTAAGTTTGATCTCTAGGCCCCTCCTTAATCACTTTAACCTTCTTATCAATGGGGTCCTCTCCATCACATGCCCAGGGTCCAACATTTACCTTCCTAGTGCTCTTTTTCCATCCAAACTATATTTCTTTCTGCCCCATTTGCTCTCTTTCACTGTAGATCTGCATAATATTCACCATTAGTAGCCATGCCACCATTTCTACATTAGGCTGTCTTGAAATTTCTTCTGCCAAAGAAATTAGTCCATTACTTTTCAACTTAGCCTCAGGCAAGCTTTTTGGTCTAGGACAGACTCCAGTCAGACTCTTTGTCAAAATATCCCAAGTGCTGCTTAAGTCTTTCTTTCCTTCTGAAACTACATTGTTCTCAGCACTACTTTCTTCCAGGCGCCTACTAGAATGGCCTGTTAAGCTCTTCTTATAGCAATCAACTGCTTTTCTAGCCCAAACCTCCAAAGTCTTCCACATTTTTCCAAAACCCCACATGGTCAGGTTCTTCAGAGTCAACAGCCCACTCTCTGGTACCAACTACTGTATTAGTCACTTTTCTGTTCTGTGATAGAAACACTGACCAAAGCAATTTATAGAAGGAAGAATTTATTTGAGCTTATGGTTCCAGGGGAATTACAGTCTGTCATGGCAAGGAGGCACGGTGGCTGGAGGTGGCTGGAACAGGAGCAGCAGAAGCTAAGCTCTCACATCATCACGCAGGCACAGGAAGTAAGAGAGCAACTGGAGATCTGGCAAGGCTTAAGAATGCTCTAAGCCCATCCCCAGTGACGTGCTTCCTCCAGGATAGCCACACCTTCTAAAACCTCCCAAAACAGCACCATCATCTGGGGACAAAATGTCCAAATACTTGGAGCCTGTGGTGGACATTTTCCTTCAAACCACCACAAAGAGTATGTTAGGACTCCTACCCTTTCCTCTTTTTTTTGCTTCCTGGTCACTGGGAGATGAGTAAGACTCTTTAAGCACATGTCCCTGCTGTGATGTACTGCCTTGTCACAGGACCAAAAGGAACGAGCCAACCTACTACAAAATGAAACCATCAGAACTGTGAGGCAAAATTAACCTTCCTTATTAGCTGATCATCTGAGACATTATATCCTAGTAATACAAAGCTGACACAGCAGAGTCCTGTGTCTTATTTAAGAGACCTTTTGGACATGTACTCAAATGCTCTTCCACTAATGCTGGCATGACATCCTGACAAACCAGTCTCATAAGTTGAAGATGTCATTAAGTCGAAATTATCTTTAATACACCTACACATACCAAACATTGTAGTTTAGCCTAATCATTGGAAATCATGCTCAACACTTGCGTCAGCCTATAGTTGAGCTTAAAGTCTATTTTGTGATAAAATGTGGTGCATCTCATGTAATTTATGGAACACAACACTGAGAATAGAAAATGGAAGGGGTATTGCTGCACGACTCTAAAGTTAAGGCGTTTAGGTCGAACCATCACAAGTCAGGGGCTGTCTATAAGCACATTCTCAGAGAAAGACAATGACCAGGGCTGGGCTGTAGCTCAGTGGGTAGAGTGCTTGGCTAGAATGCATGAAGCCCTGAGTTCCATCTTCAGTACTACATAAATCTGGTATGGTGATACACACCTGCGACCTCAGCAGTGAGTAGGTAAAGAAGCAGGAGATCAGGAATTCCAGGTTATCCTTGGCTACACAGAGAGTTCTAGGCCAGCCTGGACTACATGAGACCCTGCTTAAGAAAGAAAGAAAGGAAGGAAGGAAGGAAGGAAGAAAGAAAGAAAGAAAGGAAAGAAAGAAAGAAAGAAAGAAAGAAAGAAAGAAAGAAAGAAAGAAAGAAAGAAAGGGAAAGAGGGAGGGAGGGAGGAAGGGAGAAGAAAGGGGAGCTAGCAAGGTGATTCAGTAGATGTAGCACTCATGGCACAAGTCTGAGGACTAGAGATTGGATTCTCAGGACCCACATAAAACCTGGACATGCATGGTAGCCACTGTAGTCCCAGAATGTGAGAGGCAGAAATAAGATGCCTGGGTCAAGATGCCCAGCTAATACTAAGTAAGTTGAAAACTCTGAGTTCAACTGAGAGACTTTGTTTCAATAAACAGAATGATGAGTGATGTCAACTTTGGGCTTCCACAAGCACATGCATACCCACACACATGAATACTTATACATACACACATGCATACCATGAAGATAAAAGGAAATTTAAAGACAGACTGTCAATGATCACAGGGGCTCAATAAAATATCTGATGACTATGTGCACCTGTCTTGGGGGGCACAATGGCACCACATTAAGCCCTTCTCAATGGTGGCCAGCTGAAGGGGACCTTTCCTTTTTCCCTGTGTTCTGCAAGCACATAAACACTGAACACCGGCTGCCCTCAGGCTCTGGGGACTAAACAATGAACAAATGGCATAGAGTTCCTACCCTCAGAAGGCTGACTCTTGAAAGCCAGGCCTCTACTAGATGAAGCAGCTGTGTTTCCTTCTTCATAACCCTCACTCATTAGTCACCCTAGGTCTGGAGAGAATTTCCAGAGCATTTTAGCAATTCGCTATACCTAAAAAAGAGGGCCTCTGGTCATTTTC